TCAGAGAAGAACTTTGAGTAGGAGGGAAGGAATCTAGATATTCTCATCCACATTGATACCAGTAACATCTATCAGACCAGAAATGAGATTCTGCTGAAAGAATTTGCACAGTTCAGAACTGAACTAAAAACAGAACCTCTAAGGCTTAATCCGCACGTTACTACTTGAACTACGGGCAAACTGGCAAAGGATAAATTAAGATAATGGAGTTAAATGTGCGAATCAAAGATTGGTGTGGGAGGAATGGATTTCAGTACATGCGATACTGGCACCAGTACTGTGATAGAGGGAACTATTCCAGTGGGATGGGCATCATTTAAACCGCACTGGGACCAGTGTATTGCCAAATAGAATAACAACGGCTCAGAGGGCTTTAAATGAAATAGAGAAAAAGAGAGAGTTCTGAACAGGAACTACATAGGCTTACAACACAAAAGGATATGACAGCATTGCAGGGCAGCTATTTTGGTAATCATACCCAGAGTGGGACAGTGTGTACAAACATTTAAAAAATGAGTAAATAGAATCAAAAGGGAAAAGAATAGCAAAAATGCAAAATTAACAGCTCTCTTCATAAATGCACATCATATTCGGAATGAATTAAATGAATTAATAGCACAAAAAGAGATTAATCGGTATAATCTTATTGTCATGATGGAGACGTGTTTAAAAGGAAATCGAGGTTGGGAACAAAATATTCAGGAGTATGTGACTTCTTGAAAGGACAGGCAGGAAGGGAAGGGTAGTGTTGTGCTTTGTTAGCACCAGTACAACACTAAGGAATGATCTTGGATCGCAAAATGTAGAATTCATAAAGGGTGGAGTTTAGAAATAACATGGAGAGGAAAACACTGGTGGAATTAGCATATAGGCACCCTAACGGTAACTATACTGTAGGGCACAAATCATCAGTAAATAACGAAGGCGTGCAAAAAAAAAAGACAGCCCATTAATCATGGGTGATGCAATTGCCATCCATATTGGGAAAATTAAATTGACAGAGGGGAGCCACAGGAAGAATGTATTAGAATGTATTGAATGTATTATGGGTCATTTCTGGAACAACATGTTGTGGAACCAACCAGGGATCAGGCTTATTTTAATTGGTTATATGTAATGAGGTAGTTTTAATTATGATCAGAATAAAACATCTCTTTGGAAACAGTGAACATACATGACAGAATATGCCTGTTTGAGAATGAGAAATTTGGGTTTGAAACAACAGTACTAAACTTAAGCAAAGGCAACCACAAAACAATGAGTGCAGAGTTGGCTCAAGTGGACTGAGTAAGCAGTTTAGCTGAAAAAGTGACTGACGAACAATGGCAAGTATTTAAGGGACTAGCTCATAACTCACATCAAAGACAAATCCCGGTCAGAAAGAAGGAGAAGAAAGCGCAGGAGATAAATCAACCATAGTCGACAGGGTGGATGCCAAGAGGATGTTTCCACTTGTGAAATAGACTAGAACTAGGGGATACAGTTTAAAACTAAAATGGTCTCCCATTTCAGATCAAAACGAGAAGGAATCATTTCCCTCAGACAGTCGAGAGCCTTTGGAACTTTTTTCCCCCAGAGATACGCAGGGGTGGGTTAATTAAATCCTTTTAAGCCAGTAGTAGATAGATTCTAGACTTAGAAGGGAATCAAATCAAATGTTATCTGGATTAAGTGACAATGTCAAGTTGAGTCCGCAGTCAGATCAACTATGATCTTATTGAATGGCAGAGCAAGTTGGAAGGGCCAACTGAATGGCCCATAATTTATATGTTCCTATGACATTTGTTGTCCAAGCTGTGGCCACCAGATGCCCTCAGCTACACCAACCACATGGGCACACTGAAACGGAGAATCCTGGTTGCAAGTGGTAAAACAGTTTTTTTTCCAATGGTGAAGAGGATCACAGTCAAACCTGGTCTTCATAAACTGCCCAATTCCCAGCAGAGAAAGCCATCCAGAGCGAGTCCCCTACCCTTGAGACTGAAATCAATGTTGCTGCCACAAGTATTGAGTTTATATTATACAATGATACATGGATCTTCGTTTGAAAAGCGTATTAAGGCTTCTCTACCTGATACATCTGCACTTCTAACATTACACAGCTGAGATCAATGAACACAGACTGCAACCAAATCAGGAACATGGATTCTTTTGGATATTTTTTAAAAATCTCTCCCTTGTAATACAGTCCAAAGGCAAGGAGTATGAGAGAGGGGAATGAAGTGGGGTTAGGATGTTTGTGTTGGTCGAAGGTATATTTTGTTTGTGGGCAAATTGTAAGTTTTCCTACCTGATGGATGATATTTCTGACTGGCCCAATGGATGTATCTGTTGAAAATAAAGAACTGAATTGTTTTTGAGATATCTTTTCAGTAAGTTCTGACAATCAGCTTTCCCACAAATTTGAGTGAGAGAGCGATGTTCAGAACCAAAAGAAAGTGCTTTGGCGAACCCTTCAAAACTAACCAGAAAACAGTCAAACCTATTCTTAACATTAGCTGTTTGCATTATCCAATTGTTTTTGTAGTTGTTGCTTCCCTGCCCCCTTGGATACATTCTTCCATGTCACACTAATCCCTGCATGCAGTTTACCATTCCCTCTCTATATCCAAGCTTTTACCCAGATCCTGAAATAATTACCAGTTTTGGATTGACACCCTCTTGATTTTTTTTCTCCTCTTTTGGGAGGGATGAGACTAGGGGATAAAGGAGTGTAGAGCATCAGAATAAACAACTAATTTTGGATACACTCATGCCCACGACCACAGTCAAAGCTTTAAAGTTCATACTAGGAAGACTTGCATTTATATAGCATCTTTAATGACTTAGAAGGCCCCAAAATGTTTTACAGCCAAATACATTCACTGTGATCATTGTAGGAAATGTGACAGCCAAGTTTTGCAAATTCCCAGAAGCAGAAATAATTAATCAGATATTCTCTTTCAGTCATGTATTTGAGGGACAGGTATCGACCAGGGTTGGAGAGAATGTCCCTCATCTTTGGAATATTGCGCTGGGATCTGCTACATCCAACTAACAGATCATAATGCATCACCCCTGGCTGCTCTGCACTGGCAGTGTCAGTGTACACTTATTGCTCCATTTCTGGATTAGAGTTTGAATCCGTGCTTTCTGATTCAAAGGTGAGTGTGTCACCCCTCAGCCATGGCGGACTTTTGGATTCCAAAACCTGATAATTCATGATAATATATAAACATGGTCTAAGTACTCAAACACCATCGTCTTCTTTGAGATGATTTTCGCAAACCTGAATCTCACCTGCCACCCATATTAACTTCACAGGAGCAAACCTTGAGCGCTAAACCAGAACTGAAAGAAGTTTCTGATTATTCATTTATTCTCTGGTCATGAGGGAGGTAAAACAACATTGGGCAATGTGTCCATCCAATAACTCTTAAGAGAAGGGACTAGAAGAAGCAGAAGGAACAAGGAGTACAGGAGGGATGAGGAGTAAAGGGGCTGCTATCAAAGGTAGAGAGAAAGTCTGGGAACAGGGAGAGTGCACGGTGTCAGTCTCATGCACTTTTCTTTTCCAAACTGAGTCTCTGAATCTGCCATCAGAATAAGGCAGCTCAATTTAGCCAAGTGATGTCAGGGAGCCCGAGTGTAATCAGCTGATATTTCCCTTCCTCTGTATTACTGATATATTTCTGCATCACATACTAAACATCGTTATCACCATTTGTGAGAACCTTATAAATGGATATACATAGGTTAGGAGAGTAGGCCAAAATGTGGCTGATGGAGTTTAACATGGTAAGTGTGAGGTCATGCATTTTGGTCGGAAAAATGGGAAGGCAACCTACTATCTAAATAGGGAGACACTTCAGGGTACTCCGGTGCAGAGGGATCTGGGTGTCCTTGTTCATGAGTCACAGAAAACTAGCATGCAGGTACAGCAGATAATAAAGAAAGCAAATGGAATGTTGGCTTTTGTAGCTAAAGGAATCGAATATAAAGGTAAGGAGGTATTGGTGCAACTATACAAGGCATTGGTGAGACTGCACCCGGAGTATTGTGCACAGTTTTGGTCCCCTTATGAGGAGGGATGTGGTGGCATGGGAGGCAGTTCAGAGAAGGTTTGTTGTATGAAGAGAGATTGAACAGTTTAGGCCTATACTCTTTGGAATTTAAAAGAAAAAGGGGAGATCAAATTGAGGTATTCAAGATGATAGAAGGTACAGATAAAATAGATGTAGAGCAGATGTTCCCTCTTGTGGGGCATTCTAGGATGAGAAGTCATAGCCTTAGGATAAGGGGTAGCAAATTTAAAACAGAGTTGAGGAGAAACTACTTCTCCCAAAGGGCTGTAAATCTGTGGAATTCGCTACCCCAAAGTGAGCTCGATACTGGGACAGTGAGTAAATTTGAGGAGGAGTTAGACAGATTTTTGACTGGTAATGGGTTGACCGGTTATGGGGAGAAGGCAGGAAAATGGGGGTGAGGAGCATATCAGCCATAATTGAAGCAGATTCAATGGGCCAAATGGCCTAATTCTGCCCCTATTTCTTATGAACTTATAAAGTGACAAGTGTCTACCTGTGGTCCATTTAAATCAGTTACCAGTCAGAACCAAATTCATTTTCATTTTGACGCCCTTTTTGAGAAAGGGTGGTTTTGGCATGATATTTGAAGAATCAGCTCACCCAGCTCCATGCAATTGCATGCCGAGAGCAGAAATTTAAATCATCAAACCACAAATGAAAACTCACTACCCCACTGCCATCTTATTCAGTATCTGAACAATTCCCACATACCATCACTTGCCTGTCTTCATATATCAAAGCAACATCAAATCCAGAACAAGGCTTTGCATAAGATTTCTAGTAAATTAACAGTACTTAAACATAAAGACACAGGTAGAATAGTAAATGTGAAACTAGGAGTGTTTGCACTTCATCAAAGTAACCAGGTGCCTGCAAGTACCACACATTCTCTTTCACCACCAGACAAAGCAAGAGAATTCAGTCAGTTCATACCTGACTTGACGTTAGGCGAAATGTGGCAACACTTGTTGGAGCAGAAGGCCTGGGAGAGATGCTTCCTGGGCGCTGTGCCTGGGCTTGAGCCTGAGCCAATGCTTGCTGAGGAACCATGACAAGTTGGCCGCTCTCTGTCCGGACCAAAATCATTCCTAGAAAGGAAGTCAAGAAATGATTCAGGTTTGCTGCAATCTAGTTTAATTTTGTACAGAAAACACATTAAAAACTATTCTAGGCAAAAGTTGAAAGGCAGAATGTGTCAATCACCATATTGGTAGTCAAATGATAACATGGAACTGTTGATTAATCATAGTGATCAATCACTTGTCAATTCAGTTCCAACAGATCCAAAGGCCTAAAGTCAACGGACAGGAAAATATTTTTCATCCCTCTAAAGAAAGGAAACATGCCTCATTTAGACTAGATCAAAAGGTAGGAAACTTCAACCATCAGTTTTGAATGTTTGGGAGTTGGGGGGAGGTGAGATTGGCAGCAGCTATGGGGGGGGAACGAGACGGATGAGAGTCACAGGAGTGGGCGTGGATGGGGAGAGCAGGTGACAGGTGTAGGAGAGAGACAGGGAGTGGAGGAAGGAGGGAAATCAGCTTGGAGCAAAGACACCTATGAAATTGAGAGTTAACATTTACATCGGCTTGCAGTAAGCTGCTTATGAGATCGAACATTCTCACTATGCTCCACTAACAAGCTGGAAATTAAGCAGAATGAGGATCCACGCATACAACTTTGGGACGATCAGGCTGCAATTTAACAGCTCATCTAAATAATACTACCTTCAGTTACTCTCATTGGGAGTTTGTCTAGACCTGATTCTAGAATGTCTCAACTAGGAACTAAATCCACCACCATGTGACTTAGATAGGAGTGTGCTATCTGCCATGTTCATCAAAATAACTGACACCTAATGTTAGTCCATTCAACCTATTTCCAACATGCTAAATTCTGTAGGTATTGTCTTCCCAAACAAGTTTCACTTTTGACGAAACATCGTGTAACATAATACTCAAAGTGTAGATTCCTGCACCTGATCATGTAACACATTCCCGAATTGAAAACAAAGCTAATCTCAAATCGTAAGTAAATTTTCAGACATTGCATTCAAATATAAAAGTTGACCACTGCATACATATAAGTATAATAGATTCAAAATGAACATGGACTTCTCTTTTCGGCATTGATATAAATGATTTGGATGTCAAAATATGAGGTGTGGTTACTAAGTTTACAGATGACGCCAAAATTGGAAATGTTGCGGACAGCGAAGGTTACCTCAGAGTACAACGAGATCTTGAGCAGATGGGGCGATGGGCCAAGGAGTGGGAGATTGAGTTTAATTTAGATAAATGTGAGGTGCTGCATTTCGGAAAGGCAAACCAGATCAGGACTTATACATTTAATGGGAAGGTCCTGAGGAGTTTTGCTGAACAAAGAGACCTTGGAGTGCAGGTTCATAGGTCCTTGAAAGTGGAATCACAAGTAGATGGGATAGTGAAGACAGCGGTTGGTATGCTTGCTTTCATTGGTCAATGCATTGAGTCTAGGAGTTGGGAGGTCATGTTGCAGCTGTACAGGACATTGGTTAGGCCACATTTGAATAACGCATGCAATTCTGGTCTCCTTGCTATAGGAAGGATGTTGTGAAACCTGAAAGGGTTCAGAAAAGATTTACAAGAATGCTGCCAGGGTTGGAAAAGGTTTGAGCTATAGGGAGAGGCTGAATAGGCCGAGGCTATTTTCCTGGAGCATTGGAGGCTGAAGGTGACCTTATAGAAGTTTATAAAGTCATGAGGGGCACGGATAGGGTAAAGAGACAAGGTCTTTTCCATGTGGTGGGGAATGTCCAAAACTCGAGGACATAGGTTTAAGGTGAGAGGGAAAGATTTAAAGGGACGTAAGGGGCAACATTTTCACACGGAGGGTGGTGCGTGTATGGAATGAGCTGCCAGAGAAAGTGGAGGAGGCTGGTACAGTAACAACATTTAAAAGGCATATGATTAGGTTAGATGAATAGTAAGGGTTGAGGGGGATATGGGCCAAATTCTGGAAAATTGGACCAGATTTATTTAGGGTATCTGGTCGGCATGACGAGTTGGACCAAAGGGTCTGTTTCGGTGCTGTATATCTCTATGACTCGAATATAAATAATTCCCGCAATATATAGTTACAACTACAATCCACACAACAATACTCCATGTGTACCATGAGAGGGAGCTGTCCACAATGTGATGGGCACAGGTAGACACTGGTCACAATGAAACCAAAAAGCAAAGTACAAACTGCATCCTCAAGTTGCCCCAATGAATGACAGAACAGTTCTGCAACATAATACAATACAAATCAGAGAGATCAAAATGGTGACAGGACAGAAGGTGATCATTTGGCCCATCATGTCTGTATCAGCTCTCTGCAAGAGCAACTCACTCTGTTTCTCATGTTATAACAAAGCTTTGAAAATACTTCATTGACTGCAAACCACCTAAAGATGTTCTGAACTCTTAAAGGCCAAATAGGATTGTTAGTTTATCCTCATGCAGCTGATGTTTTACAGTGCTACCAATTGCTTCATATAACCTAAGAGATCTAAGACAGCAGATTCAATTTAACCCTTACCAAGTATCCTTGCTCCATGTCATCCCCAAACTGGAAGGAACCATCACCATCCAGTCAAAGGAAATACAAAAGCCTTGGCTCACAAGAACTATCTTTATAAAGGAATTCAAATTCCATTGGATGTCCTGACCACAATATCATACTAAATCTGACCACAATCGATTTGCATAGATTTTCCAATTTTTCTACATTTCTATCTCTTTTCCACATTACCTAAAGGAAACAAACAGATAACCTGTCAAGACTGGAAGTATTGCAAAGATACCACCTCATGCCCGAGGTCTGTACCAAGTTGATCGGTATCTGACTAGAGGCGGCAACTCTCTCAAATTCACAGCTTCGACCACACAGAGAGAACATTCAGGGAAAAAGAAACATGAAGGTGAAAAACACATCTCAGCAACCTAGCACGAGCTCTGAAGAATGTGATGAAGCGAGTTGATAGAATCCATCTAAACAACAGCTTGGGTGAGACACAGGGGAACTGGCAATGAGTCAAGGAAGGAGGTACATTGCCAATTAGCTAAAGGTCTATGCAGGGTCTGGGAATTGAAAGCCTTCCAAATATCACAAACAAAACAGGTTTCTCCAGAGAATTTACTAAATAAAAACGATCAGCTAATCTGAGTCAATTCAGTGTCAAACACACTGTTCTAAATCACTATGTTTAGTCTGCATATAATTAATGCCAAACATAATTGTTACACAAGAGTTAAAAGGAAGATCACTCATTTTCTACGGTTGCATTGTATTCATAGATGTTATACACTACTATTCATCACACAAATTAGATTTCTCAAGCCTAAATACTGAGAAATAACCAGTTTCTGTGAGCACTCTCCCTATAGGTGCATACCTCCATTCACATCAACTCATTTTCCAGAGGATTTTTTGGGGTTTGTGTTTAGGGTTCAGTTGACTTTTCCCAGACTTTCAAGCTAGAAAACTAAAATAAACAGCTCTCTCAGACAGAAATAATTGGTGGTGGTTTAACCTGAAGGTCATCATGTCTCAGGCAAAGGGAGAGGTTACAGAAGCAGCATCCTTCATGGTAATCTCAGCTGGTGCAAGAATTGAACCCACACTGTTGCTATTATTCTGCATCGCAAACCAGCCATCCAGCCAACTGAGCTAACCAAATTCATTTTTTTAAGCAGAAGGACCACATGAAGATTGTTGTAACCTTGTTAACAAGACATACAAATCTGACAAGAGCAGAAACAATGGAAAGGGTAGCATGTAATGTTACCAAATTTGCTGACAGTACAAAAATTGGTGGGATGGCATGCCATGATGAGGACATAAGGAACCTGCAAGGGAGTCCCAGAGGGACACAGGGCTGCTCTCTGAGAGACATGACTGCTGGTGACTTAACCTGAGGGTCACTACATTTCATTTTGGTTCAATTACTTTCTTTTTTTTAGAAATGGAGAGAGATTCCTAAAAAATACAACACAGAGATCTGAGTGTTCTTGAGCATGAAACACAAAGAGATAGCATGCTGATGCAGCAAGTAATTATGAAAGTAAATGCAAGTTTGGCCTTTAATTGCTCAGTGTTTGAAGTTTAAGAACAGGGAAATCTTGTTACAACTTGGCTACAATAGTTTGGGGAACACAATGGTGAAAAAACAATGTCAAACATTCAAAAGAGTGCATGGGTGGGCTGCAACAATTTCTCATTCCTGGCAAGTGCAAAGTAAAACAGAAAAGGCAGCCAAACCTGTGGCTTACTAGGGAAATCAGACACAGTATTAGATCCAAGGAAGAGGTATACAGTTTGGCCAGAAAAAATAGTCCTGAGGAATGAGAGCAATTCAGAAATTAGCAAAGAAGTAAAACGGGATTAATTAAGAAAAGGGAAACAGAGTATGAGACTAAGTTTGCACAGGGCAGCACGGTGGCTCAGCGGTTAGCACCGCTGCCTCAAGGTGCCAGGGACCTGGGCTCAATTCTGTTGTCACACACTGTCTGTGTGAAGTTTTCCCCATGTCTGCGTGGGTGCTCTGGTTTCCTCCCAGAGTCCAAAGGTATGCAGGTTCGGTGGATTGGCCATGCTAAATTACCCATAGTATTCAGGGATGTGTAGGTTAAGTGCGTTAGCCATGGGAAACGGAGGGTTACAGAGATAGGGTAGGGGGAAATGGGGATGGATCTGAATGGGATGCCCTTCAGAGAGTCGGTGTGGACTTATTGGGTCGACTGACCTGTTTCCATGCTGTAGTGATTCTGAAAGAAGAAGACTGACTGTAAAAGTTTCTACAGGCACATGAAGGGAAAGAAGACTGGTGAAGACAAGTGTAAGTTCCTTACAGTCAGAAATAGTGGCATTTATAATAAGTATCAAACTGCATGACAGACTGACTAAATTTATACTTTAGTTCTGTGCTCACAAAACAGGACACAAATAACATACCAGAAATTTTGGAGGACACAACTTAAATTTAATTTCAGGCTTTCTCTCTGCTTCACTTTTTAAATAGAAGAGTTATATTATCTCACTTTCAATCTATAGGAATTGTTAC